GCCCCTGCCGGTCACCTTCTTAAGCACATTAATTTATTTGCTCAGCCCTATGTGGGTATAGTATTATCACCACTTTACTGAAGCACAGAGGGTTGAGTCCACTTGCCCAAGGTCACACAGCGAGTTGAGGAGCCGGGATCCCAACTCAGAAAGCCAGGTTGCTGAGTCTGTAGATGGTGTTTACAAGAGGGCTTTGTACCGTGGTAGTGTTGAGCTTCTGGTTCTTTGACTGCTCCTCTTCGTATTTGAGGAGCTGAGGGCTGGATAAGCTGAGCCTGGAGGTAGATTAAGTGTACAGATCACGGTGTTGGAAAGAATGAGGAGATGGAGCATATGAGAGCTTTTTTTGGAGTTACAGGGAAACAGCTGTTTCTAAGTTTGGGACAGAGCTGAGGAGAGCCGGCAGGGACAGAGAAGGACATTTTCTGGGTGGATTGTTACTATCTGCCATGAGGGAGAGCACCGTCTGTGGATTTAAGAGCCACGTGCTTCTTCCCTCTTCTTATCATATTTTATCTGGAAGCCTGTCTTTAAATCCCAGCTCGGCCCTCACGCTGTGACAGCTTTAGAAACTTAGAAAACTTGCCAAGGATAGTGAATTCTTGCGACGTGAAGGGAAAGGTGAAGAATGGGTTTCTTCGTGGAATTTCTTCCTTGTTACCTTATTTCTATGAAGTGCTTATGGGGATGCCCCACGGAGTGGCTTGAGTTCAGTGAAGAGAGGACTGGAAACTTGCGTGACTTTTTTTTTCTCATGAATTGACTTAATAAGAGAGTGAATCATCCTCTTAGCTAGCATCCTGGAAAAGAAGAAAGGAGAGAGCAAGAGAGTGGGATGGCATTTGACTGAAACCAGAAGCTTTCTGTGGCGGTCTCCCAGGGCAGGGGCCAGGCTGCCACTGAGGTCCCTCAGGGCCTCTCAGCTTCCCCCTCACGGCCACCCTCAGCCCTCACCATCCCTGTGAGGCTCTGGGGAATGAATAGGCCTTAATGGGAAATGAATAGGGGGTGTAAGTGTCCTTTTTAAATGACAGACCACTGGTGAAATTCACACGCAGCAGTGATAATTTTGAAGACATTCACATAAAAATTCATTACATAAAACTAGACAATTCAAAAATAGCTTTTGACCTTCAGGGATGTGAATGGCTACTTATACCCCCTTCCTGGGAAGGTGGCTGGGGCCCTCCCTGTGCCAATGCTTGATCCCTTGGGTCATCCTAGTCACCCTTCAGGGATCTCTTGTTCTCTTCTGGGACTCCAGATAGGAGTCTTGGTTGGGTGGGGTCGGGGGAACCACTCTCTGCCTGGCCAGCCCCACCTACAAGTTACCTGTTCTCTGAGTTTGCTCGGACGCTGGGGAACATCTCCTTTTCTGAGACATTCTTTGTGACCTTTCTGTGGACCTTAATTTAAAGTCTGAGCTGAGGCTGGGGTCCCCAGGGGAATGTGAAGGCTGACGGGGATCAGGAGGGGTTTGCAAGGAAACTCCTCACACCAGCCCCCTGGAATGTGAAAAGGCTGGTTGTGCTTTCAGACTCTCTCTGGCTTCATGGCATACATTTCCCAGAGCGTTGGCTTTTCTCAACAATGCCTCTCTGCCTCGTTTTCCTTCCTGCCCTGGCCATCGGCAGCCGCTACCATTAATAGCTCCCATTTGAAAGAGGACTTATTCTGTGTCAAGCATTTCACTTTAAGTAATCCAATTTAGTACCTATATCAACCCTATGAACCAGGGATTATTGTCTTTTTAGATGTGGGAACTGAGGCTGAGGGCTAAGGGGTAACATCACTTGTCCGAGTAACACAGCCATTTACCGGGAGAGATAGTTTTGGGTTTTATACTTTTATTGTGAAAATTTTCAAATATACACAGAAGTGGAGAGACCAGTGCATGCCCATGCACTCATATCAGGCTTCTTCACTCTATCTGGAAGTGCTGGCCCCAGGTTTTCTGTGGCTTCAGCATACAGCAGGATACCTGTGTGTGAATTTGGAGAAGGGACACTTTCTCCAAGCTACAGAGGTGGGTAAGCAGAGGGCAGGCTAGATTCCAGCCCCATTTGCCCCCTTGGACAGGAACCTTGCGAAGTGAACAGCTCACACAACTGTGTATGGCGACCCTGCCAGCTAACTTCTCATCTAGCTTTCAGCATGAAGAAAGGAGACTGTAGCCAGTCACCAGGCCCTGACAGTGATGATGTCTCTGGCTGGTCCTCAGCTATGCGGCGTCAGGGGAGAAGAGCTCAGTCGCTGGGGACGTCTTGGGCTAAAACAGATTAAGCTGGGGGTGGGGGTGGGGGTGGGGATTCCCAGAGGAGAGACTTCTGCTGCAGAGGAGGGTGAAGGCCGATGAGTCGTGTCTTTTGCTGCTCCTGTTTTCAGCCGGCCACCGCTGTCCTGATGACTCCTGCCTGGTGCCTTCTGTCCTGTGTTCTGTACCCAGGGCTTGGGAAGCACTTGTGTGTGGCCATGAGGCAGGCGGGAGGGGAGCTGGTTGCCCGCAGGGTGTGAAAACCTGGTGTGAATTCCCTCTTGGCTGCCACCCTCCTAGAGTCTCTGGGACAAGCTGCCTTTGCCTCCTGGAGGCACACCTTTCCTCAGCACTCAGTTCAGCCAGTGGCTGCCTGGGAGGGCCCGCTCTCCCACCTGCAGAACTATTCCTTTTAGTCCCAGAGCAGGCCCTGTGGGTCACCAGATGAGGAGCTTCTTGAGGAGAGGGACAGGGCCGTTTTTCCAATGGTGCTCTTGGTTCTCCCCACAGCAGCATCTGGCGCTGGTGCTCTGGAAATATTTCTTTTCTTTTCTTTCTTTCTTTTTTTTTTTTTTTAAGATTTTATTTATTTATTTGACAGAGATCACAAGTAGGCAGAGAGGGAAGCAGAAGGGGGTGGGGGAAGCAGGCTCCCTGCTGAGCAGAGAGCCAGATGTGGGGTTCGATCCCAGGACCCTCGGATCATGACCTGCGCCAAAGGCAGAGGCTTTAACCCACTGAGCCACCCAGGTGCCCCACTGGAAATATTTCTTAAACCACCAGAGGCAGCATCCAGCCGACTGGGAAACTGTGCTGAGGGGTTCAGGTTGATTAACTTGTGAGCCTCAGTCAGGAGGCTAGACTGTGCCGCAGTGATGATGGAACCCTGATCCCCCAGTGGCCTGACACAATCTAGGCTTAGTGGGTGCTTGAGGAAAGTCCAGTGCAGTTAGGCAGTCCTCCCCCATCTGTAGCCACACCTCTGGACTATGGGGTGTGACTTCAGAGTCACCACAGGAGCAGAAGACAGAGATAGAGGCACCCCCTGGCTTAGCTGCATTGCAAGGAACTGACACCCCTTACTTCCATTCACATTTCATTGGCCAGAACTAGTCCCATGGGTTCAACCTAACTGCTAGTCACACAGTCACAGTTGCTCACAGTCACACAGCCGGCTGGGACATAGGGAAATATAGGGGGTTGGGAAATATAGGGGAGCAAGGGGCTGCCTTCATGCTTTCAAAGATGAGTACTTTGTATTTCTTGTCCGTGGCTTTAGCCCATTGGAGTGCCTCTGGCCTAATCACTTGTCCTCAGTTGCCGTTTTCTTTTTACACTGACAGGAAGGGAACACCTGCCACTTCCTTTAATCCTTGAAGAGAAGGAGGCATGAGATGGCACTGAAGGAGACCCACAGCAGCGATTTTAACCTCTCCTTTTTTTTTTTTTTAAGATTTTATTTATTTATTTATTTGACAGGCAGAGATCACAAGCAGGCAGAGAGGCAGGCAGAGAGAGAGAGAGAGAGGGAAGCAGGTTCCCCGATGAGCAGAGAACCCGATGCGGGACTCGATCCCAGGACCCCGAGATCATGACCTGAGCCGAAGGCAGCGGCTTAACCCACTGAGTCACCCAGGCGCCCCCCCCCCCTTTTTTTAAAGATTTATTTTATTTAAGTAATCTCTATGCCCAAGGCAGGGCTGGAACTCAGCACCTGGAGATCCGGAGTCGCATGCTGCACTGACTGAGCCAGCCAGGCTCCCCTTAACCTCTCTTTTATTACACGTGGGCCCTGTAACTTTCATTGAGTCACCTCACCTCTGTGAGTCTGTGAGCCTCTTTCCTCATTTGTAAAAGGAGGATAATAACCCAGCCCATCTCTTAGTTCTGATTCTACTGATTGCAAGTAACAGAAACCAGCCTGAGCTGTTTGAAGTCTCAGGGGAATGGAAGAATTGAGGCTAGGAAATAAGGCTGGCCTCCCAAGTGTCTACAAGGGCAGGATACCATTGCTTCTGTGGATGTGTGCCAGATGTCATGTCCCCTCAGCTTCCACCTAGACCGGCTCTGGTTCCAGGAACCATCAGGCTGAAGGGTAGCTCAAAACCTTGATTCAAATTCCTGGGGAAAGAATCTGATTGGCCCATTTGTGTCAGCTGTCTCCCGTTGGTCCAACCAGCTATAGCTGGAAGCACAGGGTCTATAAGGTATTGACAAGGCTTGGGGGCTTTCCTCTATCCATGGGGGTGGGGACAGTCCTCAGAATGGGGCCTGTGCTTACCTGGTTCAATAACTGTGGAGTAGTAACATCTGGAAGAAAACTGTGAGAACTGTAAAGTGCTGCATTAATGGGAGCTGGCATGTTGGTGTGCGATTTCTCGTTAGGAATCTGGGAGATTGTACCGCCTTGCAGGGGGATGAGAGAGAGGCAATGCTGTGAGAGAGGAGCCTACTTTATTTTAAAAAGAGATTGTATTTACTTATTTGAGAGAGAGAGATTGAGAGAATGAGTGGAAGGAAGGGCAGAGGGAGTAGACTCTGCAGGGAGCAGAAACAGGAATTGATCCCAGGACCCTGGGATCATGACCTGAGCCCAAGGCAGCTGCTTAACTGACTGAGCCACCCAGGTGCCTGGAGGAGCCTGCTTTATAAAAAAAAAAAAATAAAAAAAAATATATATATATATATATATATATACACATATACACACACACACACACACACACTCACTCTCACTCTCTCCTAGAGGCAGAGGAGGTGTTTGTTAGAAGATCACACAGAGCCTGGACCAGAGGAAATGGACAAGACTAGCTTGGGGTGTTGTCGGGAGGTCAAGTTAAGTTTACAGGCTATTAGACCATAACGCTGTAAAAGAGAGAGTACTTCACATGTGCTCTCATCTGTGTAAGTATGGATGCTTCCGTAGTTAAAACTGTGATGTGGAAAGGATCTTAGCCCAAGCTATGGCAATTCGTTCCTTGTCTGATACTGTCCCAGCCGGCTGTGTGACTGTGAGCAAGTCACTTCACCTCTCTGGGCTTAGCTCTCTGAAGACTGTGGTGCAGTGTATGCATGTGTCTGTGTACCGTGGGGTTAAGACATAGAGTCTGGAATTAAGACAGCTGGGAGTGAACCCTTTTTTTCACTTTGCTAGCTATATGACCTGGGGAAATTTCTTCACCTCCTTGAGTCGGGGTTTCCTTGCTTGTGACATGGGGATATTTGTAGTATTTTCCTCATATGGTTATGGTGGGGATTACATGATATAGTATCAGCTAGTATTATTAATAGAAGCCAAAGCTGGCCAATTGCAGGGACAGGGACCCTATGACATGGTGATTCTGCATGCCCAGGCCCTTTGATTAGAAAGAACACAAGAGCTGTGTAGCCTCCTGGTGCAGGGGGTGCAAGAGGAACCCCGGGAAGCTAGGGAGCTGGAGGGAGCACGGGAAGACTGCTGGCAGAGGCAGGCAGGGCTAGCCCGCGGCTCTGGTCCTTCTATGAATTCAGTTCTGCCAGCACTGCCAGGTGCAAGGTGAAGCTTACAGCCCCAGGAGCGCGCGCCCGCCCACCTCTCCTCCCACACCCCATCTGCTTCCAGCAATTCGTTGAATTTGGGGTGGCTCCTTCTTTTCCGTCCTGGGCCCGGGGTGGAGAGGTGAGGCTGGGGAGGCTGTGGGTCCGACAGCCTGCCCAGGTTTGGGATCGCAGTGCTTCCCGCTGTGAAACTGCTGATCCCGGAGAGCTACGGAAGAGATGAAGGAACCCTTATGAGCAGAGCAGTTTGAGGGCTGAATTATTTGGAGGCTGCGCTCCCTCCGGCGGGTCCCGGCGAGGGGGCGGGGAGGGGGGGAGCGGGGGAGCGGGGAGGGAGGAATGTGGGACCGCGGACGGCCGCTGGGCAGCTAGGCAGCTCTCAGGGCCCGGCCTCCAGGCCCGGGCTGCGCCTTTGTCCTGGGGGCCGCGCCGCGGTGGCCTTCCTCAGACTGGGGCTCCAGTTGCTGCCCGGCCGCGGCCTCCGGGGCTGGTCCTCCTCGGCTCCCGGGGCGCGGCGATCATGAGTGGCAGAAAGAAGTCACCCCACTAGCTGCCGGAGTGCAGTGTCGCCCCGAGCGAGGGCGGGTCTGGAAGCCCCTGCGGGGGGCGGCCGCTGGGCTGCTGGGGGATGGGGGGAGCCCTAATCCTCTTTCGGTTCGTTCAGGATTATGTTTTGAGCCGAAGACTTATGGAAAATCAGCGCCTCCAGTAGCTGCGGGGCCCTGGAGAGGGTGCTTGGGGCCCGGCCGGTGTCCCGGCGCTGGGGCCTGCGGGGTCCTGCCAAGGTGGACCGTGGCCATGGCAACCCCTGCCCGGGACTGCGGTAAACACGCGCTTTCAAAGGGGGCCTTGTTCCCTGCGGGAGCCCTTCAGTTCCAGCCCACTGGGGCTTTTCAGTCCTGGGGAGGAAAGGGAGGGCAGTGGGGAGGGGCCGGCCTATTAGTGAGGAAGTGTCACTCAGGTCCCTGTCTCCCCGCCCCAGGCATGTTTCCTGGAGGCCCCAGTTTCCAAAGCTCCTGCTTCTGGGGAATGAAAAGAAGTGTAAGCATCAGGAATGCATTCAGTCTCCAGGCAACAGGGTGTGTGTGTAATTGAGGGGAGGGAAGGAAGCTTGGAAAAAAAAAAAAAATCACCATCCCGTGGGCCACCTCAGAGTGGAAGGCCTTGGTGCTCCAGACTGATTTCAGCAAGCTAGCGGGGGCCACGGGAAGCAGATCTTTAAGACTTACTCATCCTTTCTGGCCCTGAATAGCAAATGACTATAATCTCCCAGAAAACATTAAATCATTCATTTAATGTAATGTAATCTCATTGGCAATTTGTATTCTTATGTATGAGCCAGTGAATCTTTGTGAGAAGGCTGATCTTGGGAGCTTGATAGCCTTCGCTGTCTTGGGGGGAGCCTGGCCGCTGGATTCCCCTCCCATCATTTTGTGTTTCAGCTAACCCAAGTGTAAAAACCGGGAAGGATGCTTGGCTGCTCACTAAGCACCTACATCATTTATGAGGTCTCCTCTGTGTGTGTGTGTTACCAAATGAGTGAGTGATGAGTCCATTTCCATTTAGGGAAGGTTGGGGTTGTAACCAGATCTTTTCCCCTGACGCTGCTTTCCTCTCTGGCTTTGTCTGAAGAGGGGGCTGGCAGGGGCAGCCTCAGGTATAGGGAGAGGAGACAGAGGACGTAGATCTAGGTCTGTTAGCTGTGAATGATGGCCAGCCCTCTGTCTGTCAGCTCTCCCAATCCTCCTGGGATCCTTGAGGGATGTGTGAGGAAAGATCCTAGTCGTTCAGCCTCAGAACACAGCTGATTCTGGGCCTGCTGACATTATTTTCAAGTCCCTGTCAGTCCAAGGACCACAGCATCTGGTCTGGTGGACTAGAGAGTCCAGTACTGCTACTGACCTCCAGCGTCACCCCTTCATTCTGGCTGAGAGCGGTGGGAATCCACAAAGTTGAGAATACGGAGGCGGGCGTCCTGGCTGCTCAGCCAAGTTTCCTTATACCCAAGGGAGAGCAGGAAGGGTTCTCATTCACAGGTTGGACACTGGGAGCAAAATCTGGTGCCTAGATTTTCACACACCCTCATGCCTTCTGTCCCCTCTTCCTTCTGAAGTTTGAGAGGTTGTAAATTCTTCGTGTCATATGCCATTGAATTTGGGGGAGATGGCACTATTTGAAAGGTTTCTTCATCTGAAGGTGGAGCGGAGGGAGCTCAAGAACTTTCCAAATTTTTCTGATCAGCCCAGAATAGGGGGAATTTACTTTGAGCTTTGTGGAAGGAGGGAAAAAAGAAGATATCGCTCATGTGTCTAGAGAGATCCAGTTCTAATGGATGCACCAACCAGCACAGTACAAGAACATTAAGGGCTTGTAAAGTGACTGCCATTCTTGTCTCCTTGTGGAATCTGAAACCAGAACCAGGGTGTGTGCAGGGTGGGGCTCAGGCATGGGTGAGTTCTATAAGCTCCCCAGGGGTCCCTCCTGTACCACCAGGGTTATGGGCCATCCCTCCAGTTCAGTGTCCACAAAATGGTGATGATTTTGTGCCCCAGGAGACACTGGGTGTGTGCGGAGACATTTTTGGTTGGCACAACTGGGGGTGGGGGTGCTCCTGGCATTTGTGGCTAGAGGCCAGGGATGCCACTTAACATCTACCAATATACAGGACAGACCCGACCCCCCCCCCACCGACCCCGCAGTGGAGAATGATCTGGTCCCAAATGTCAGGAGTGCCCAAGGTTAAGGCGTCATGCTCTTGTGCCTGCACCAGACCTTCTGGAGATTTGTGCTGAGGCAGGATTCTGAGAGAAGGAAGGACGGGTGGCTGGGGGGGAAAGGAGCCAGGTGGAAGCATTGTGCAGGGAAACAGCACGTGGATGGAAGGGTCTGGAGGCAGGAGAATGTGATTCGGTTTTTGCAAAGGGGGAAAGAGCCTTGTGGTTTCGCAAGAGTCATCTGAGATGTAGAGGATGTTTTCAGTGTGATGACCCTGGAGGTGGGCTTGCATTTTGCCCAGCGACTTCTGGTTAGGACCTCAGGCCCTCTCTCTGGCTGCTGACTGTCAGTGTCAGTAACCCTTGGGCTTCTCTCTGCTCTGTGGGAGTGAAGGAGCCCCTCTCAGGTACCGTTGGCTTCAAATGCCCAGTCCCACTGTGGGGCTGGCTTTCCCGAAGCTTATGCATATCAGAAAGCTGCTCACTTTCCCTCCGGCGCCAAAGCAGGCAGTGCCCTTTGCTTTCGTTAACGGCTTGGTGCGTGGGGCCCATTCTTTCATGAGTTTCTGTTCCTTAGAGAAGGGGAGGGAAGACCCTAGTCTGCTGAGTCCACGCTGTATGCCCACTTTCTGATGGTCCTGACACATGGCAGTTGGTCTTTTTTTTTTTTTTTTTTTTTTTAAGATTTATCTATTTGAGTGGGGAGGGGCAGAGGGAGAGAATCTTCGAGCAGACTCCCCTCTGAGCACAGAGTCTGATGTGAGGCTCGATCCCATGACCCTGAGATCCCAACCTGCGCCAAAACCAAGAGTCAGATGGTTAATGGACTGAGCCAGCCAGGTGCCCTGGGCCATAATGTCTTTTGAATAAATGAGTAAATCCTTCAATGAATGGAAGATCTGGACCGCCTTCTGCAAATTGCCCCTTTCAGAAGCACATAGTCCTTTAGTCCTTGTGCCTTAAGTTGAATTAGGAGAGACTGAGATTGGCCATAAGGAGGAAGGTCTCTATTGTAAGAATTTTCAGGGAGTGGGACACATAATCTGAGGGTGACCTGAGGGAAGTGGAGACCATTCCTATTTGGAAGGGAGCTGCTTGTGGCCCTTTCTGGCTGCCACTGAGCGGACATTTTTGCCCTGCTGGGGTGACTCACATTACACTCCTTCCTCTGAGGCTTCCAGCTCTTAATTAGATTTCTTAGCTCTCACAGTAGACTTGAATATCCTTTGATAAGGAGTAAAAAGTGTGGTCGAACACAGGAGTGTAGTACTTCTCCCGGGGCCTGCCTGCTGGACGTCACTGGCCAGCTGTCTGGCCCACGCAGAGCGAGGCCGTGAGCAGTTTCCCCAGGATGCCTCCTCTCCTCGACATGCTCAGAGGGAGTAGTCCTCCGAATGTTTGCACATGCTTCTGAGCTGCTTTGTTCCACCTTCAGTCAAGCCCTTGGGACAGAAGGTCTTCTGTTTCTGCGACTCAGGAGAAAAGGGCCCCTGGATGTCCCAGGCTCAGGCTGGAGTGGAAAAAGGTGTGTTGCAAGAGCTGCATCTGAGCGAGCCCAGACCCACCAAGGCCTTCTGCCTCCCTCAGGCCAGGCCCCAGTGGTGAGCCTTTTCCTCAGCCCTTTGTTGGACTCTGGGCCTGGTCAGGCCAAAT